TTGTTCTTGATTGGAATCAAATCGCAGAGCAATATGGTAAAGGTTGTTCCTTTAGTACAATGTTGCATTGTTAGTTATCAATTAATATGTTATGTATAATGTATGTTTATACTTTCAGGTTATGTTCACGTTGGTGTTTGTCGAGTTTCACCCGATCATAACTATCTCGCCTACACGGTTGATCCTGAGGGAAGTGAACGTTTCATTCTCCAAATTAAGGATCTGAGAAGTGGTTGTTTAGTTCCGAGGTTGGAAGTCGATGGAGTTGTAAGCTTGGCGTGGGCTTTAGATGGAATCACCTTGCTTTACACTGTTATAGATGATAATCAAAGACCTCACAGGCAAATATAGTGACTGATACAAGTAGATTAGCTTTTCATTTATATGAATGTTGAAGGGTGGTTGTTCAATTGTGACTTGTTTTTGCAGGGTTGTTGTTACAAATGTTGACTCAGACGGGACAGCTGATACCGTTGTGTTTATCGAAAAGGATTCCAGTTTCTGTGTAGACATAACAACCACAAAAGATGGCAAGTTTGTTACTATCAATTCGAATTCGAGGACTTCATCCGAGGAATTAACCTGTTTCAAACTTTCATTATAATTTTCCATTTTTAAAAGTTTCTACTTTTCCTGGAGGCTCAAGTTGGTTTTTTTTTCTTTCTTTCTTTCAGGTTTATATCGTAAATGCTGATAAGCCACTGGCTGGTTTGCAAAGAACTCGTGAAAGAGTCCCTGGCGTGCAATGTTTTCTTGAACACCACAATGGATTCTTTTACATTCTTATGAATGCTCCCACGAATGCAATTAGTGAGTGGTCTGGTGAAGGTTATTATTTGACTAGATGCCTAGTGGAGGACATCGAAGCATCTAACTGGCAGGTTTTGGTTATTCATAATTATTATTCTCCGTTTTGCAGATAGTGAACACTACTGATTTTTGTTGTCAGACTGTTTTCTGCCCAGATGGTGAAGTCGTGATACAAGACATGGACATGTTCAATGACTACTTGGTGTTATTCCTTGACAAAAAGGGCCTACCTATGCTATGTTCCATGGATATGCCCATGAAAGCAAATGCAAAGGTGTTTTAAGATTTGTGATTAATATTCTTTGTTTTCATACACTGTTAGCTATTTCTTACAGAAGTGTATGTTCCCTTCTGCTCTACATTTGCAGCATATAGAAGATCTTAATCCCTGGTACTTTCCTCTTCCAGCTGATACATGTAGTGTGGCGCCGGGTTCAAACCACAACTTCCGGAGCTCAATGTACCGTGTGGTGCTTTCATCTCCTGTGGTATATACTTCCTTTAAGAGTTGGGTTTTTCTGTTTGTTGTAGCTTTGATATCATAAGATAGTTTTATGTGCATTTGAATTACTCTTTTTACTCGGATAATTCTCTGAATACCTTACTGTTATCTTTGGTATTGCAGATTCCTGACACTATTGTCGACTATGACGTGTCAAGAAGGTCATTCTCAATTGTGCAGCAGCAGCAGGAGGGAAGGGTTGTAGATAATTCTGATAGTAGTACGCCATCATACGCTGCAGATCACTCTATAGACAACAGCGGTCAACGTATTGATAGAACCAGTGAGGGACACGGTGAGCAGTTAGATTCTCGAATGCCTAACTGGGAAGACTTATCTGATGCATATGTTTGTGAAAGACAAGAAGTTTCTTCGCACGACGGAGTAGATGTCCCTCTTACAATTCTGTATTCCCGAGAAGCGTGGAAGAAGAGTGAATCCCCGGGAATATTGATAGGTTATGGTGCATATGGAGAAGCTTTGGACAAAAGCTGGTGCACAAATCGATTGAGTATGCTTGATCGTGGTTGGGTTATTGCCTTTGCTGATGTGAGGTCAGTTTTAAAACATAACGGAATCATTCGGTTATCATTTTCCATAGCATGAGGTTTCCTGGTGTCAGCTATGAGTTTGCTCTGGTTTGTCTTCACTTGACATGATAGTGGTTGTCTTGAATGTGCTGCTATAAGAATTTCATTTTGGCCTCAGGGGAGGTGCTGGTGGGGATTTTTCATGGCACAAATCCGGAACTCGATCATTGAAACAAAACTCAATCCAAGATTACATATACAGTGCGAATTATCTAATCGAAAAGGGCTATGTACATAGACATCATCTTGCTGCTATTGGGTACAGCGCAGGATCAATTCTTCCAGCTGCAGCCATGAATATGCACCCGAGTCTATTTCGAGCGGCAATTCTGAAGGTTCGAATATTAGATCGAAATGCATTCATTTGTGTTTTTTTTTTGTGTCGGTAATATGCAAAAGCTGATTTCCATCAATGTGAACCACTATGCAGGTTCCTTTTGTAGACGTGTTAAACACATTATCGGATTCAAATTTACCGCTTACACTCTTGGACCATGAAGAATTTGGGAATCCAAACATCCAAACCGAGTTCCGATCCATCCATAGCTATTCTCCATATGATAACATTCACAGAGATGTTTGCTATCCGTCAATGCTTGTCACAACTTCGTTTCATGACTCAAGGCAAGCTTCACACAAGAACCTTAAAACCCATTCCATTCCGTTTCCTTGTTGAGTATAATAAGATATTTGGATTACAAACTCGAATTTTGTGTTGTTGTTGGTTCAGGGTTGGAGTATGGGAAGGTGCAAAATGGGTGGCTAAGATTCGGGAATGTACGTGCAAGGATTGCTCACGAGCTGTGATTCTGAGAGCAAATATGAGCGGAGGCCATTTCGGTGAAGGTGGTCGCTATGCTCAATGCGAAGAGGCTGCGTTTGATTATGCTTTTCTTATCAAAGTTATGGGTCACAACAAAAATAGCTAAAAGAATCATATCATCTTAAAGTTATAAAAGAGTTTTAGAGATTACACTCTCTCCTACGGAAAATAAACCAAATTGAACGAGATACTGGAAAAATGACGCAATAACTTCCAAACGAAATCTGATATTCCACAATAGATTATATTTGATAGGTTACATGAATGATGGAGAAGATGATACAAACTCAAAACCGCTAAAAAAACGTAGATTCTACTAAGCATGATTTATCGTAGTAGGAGCCGAACAATGTACATAAAAGAAGAAATCTGTCAATACATTTTATATATTCGAACTCGATGGAGCCTAAGAGAGAGATGTCACAATGTTTTCATTCGCTTATGCGAATGATCGGATTCTTCCTCAACACTTGGATCCCTTGCTTGTGTGGCGCCTTCAATGTCAGATGATAATGGATTCTGCACTTGCAAAAATGTATCAAGATCATGACACATAGTTACTCTTATACTACCAAATACGAACCTTTTGGAAAACGAAAACATACTAATTCACCTTACTTGATGGTTCGTCATGAGGAAGTCCTTGATTCGCTCGCTTCCCAAGATCAATCTGCACAGAAAGTTTAGCATGCGACAGATCAATTCCTGCGTTCTGAAGTGCTTGTGTTAACGAGCTCAATAACCTGGTCATATCAGAATTCATGTTTAGAAGATTAGTACACATCCAAGTCGAAAAACATGAATAGC